TTCCAGACTTTAAGCCCTACTGGTTAAAAGAAATCACAGATTTAGGTCCCTCTGGTTTTTGAAGCTAAATGTTATGGGGATTCATCTTCCCTATGCTGGCTTCCCAGCATGACAGTTTAGTTCTCTCCTCTCTCCATGCCCTCAGGTCCCTCCTTTCCTTAGACACTACTGTGGTTTCACACCCCCACCCCCACCCCCCCCTGCATCTCTGCCCTTCCTATCCTCTTCAATGTGGTCTCTTCTCTACATTCAGTTATGGAGTTTGTTCTTTCAGTCTGTTGGGAGTGTTATCTAGTTGTATCAGTGGGACAAAGTGAAATTAGGGTCGTCCTGTTCCCCCATCTTCCAGCAATCTCCTATCTCACATCTTCTTTACCCACTCATCCATTGATGTGGATGGATGGTTAGGTTGTTTCCATATCTTGACTATTGTTAATAATATTGCAATGAACATGGGGGTACATATATCTTTCCAAGTTAGTGTTTTCTTTTCCTTCAGATAAATACCCAAAAGTTGAGGTGCTAGATCATACAGCAGTTCTGTTGTTAATTTTTTAAGAATTCCCCATATGGCTTTCTATAATGGCTGAACAATTTAAATTCCCACCAACCATGCACTGGGCTTCCTTTCTTCCACATCATGACCAACACGATTTCTCATCTTTCTGACAGTAGCTATTCTAACAGGTGTCTAATGATGTATCATTATGGTTTGGATTTACATTCCCCTGATTATTAGGGATGTTGAGCACCTTTTCATGTACCAGTCATTCATCTCTATATTTTCTTTGAGAAACCATCTACTCTGATCCTCTGCCCAGTTTTAAAATCAGGTTCACTGGCAGGTTTTGGTGTGTTTTTTGTTGGTATTGTTTTTGCTTTGCTGTCAAGTTGTAGGAGTTCTTTATGTATTTTGTATACTAACCCACTATCAGATATATGATTTGCAAATATTTTTCTCCCATTCTGTAGACTGCCTTTTCATTTTTTTGATGGTTTCCCTTATCTATACTGAAGATTTTTAGTTTGATGTAGTCCTTCATTTGCTTTTGTTGCCTTTGTTGTCAAATCCATAAAGCCCTCACCAAGACCGATATTAAGGAGCTTACCACCTAAGTTTTCTTCTAGTAGTTTTATGGTTTCAGGTCTTAAATTCAACTTTAATCCATTCTGAGTTAATCTCTGTATGTTGTAAGACAGTGGTCCAGTTGAATTCTTTTGCATGTGGCTGTCCAGTTTTCCCAGTATCATTTATTCTTCAATAATGTGTATTGTATAGTCTTGGCTCCTTTGTCATAAATTACTTGACCATATTTGCATAGATTTAGTTCTAATGCTCTCCATTCTGTTCCACTTATCTGTGTGTTTAATGCCAATACTGCTCTGATTACTACAGACTTGTAATACATTTTGAAATCCAGAAGCATGATGCTTTCAGGTTTATTCTTTCTCACGATTATTTGGGCTATTGACGGCTTTTTTCTTAAACTCCATACAAATTTTAGAATTGTTTATTTCTGTGAAAAATACCACTGAAATTTTGATAGAGATTGCATTGAATCTGTACATTACTTTGTTTGAGTAGTATGGACATTTTAACAACATTAATTATTATAATCCATGAACACCAAGTATCTTTCCATTTATTTGTGTTTTTCAGTCTCTTTCACCATTATCTCAAAGTTTTTAGTGTACACGTTATTTTACCTCCTTGGTTTAATTTATTCACAAGCGTTTTATCCTCTTTAATAGAGTTATACATGGGATTATTTTCTTAATATCTCTGATACTTTATTATATTATACATAAATATAACAGATATTTGAACTAATGTAAAGTTTATTTATTTTGAGAGAGAAAGTGAAGGAGAGGGGGGAGAGAGAGAGAGAGAGGGAGAGAGAGGGGGGGAAGAGAGAGAGAGAGAGAGAGAGAGAATCCCAAGCAGGCTACTCACAGGGCAAAGCCCAATGCAGGGCTCAAACTTACATACTATGAGATCATGACCTGAGCTGAAACCAAGAATTGGACACTTAACCAACTGAGCTACCCAGTCTCCCCAAACCTTTCTCTTTTTTGTATCTATTCCAAAGTTTTGCTTTGTAGTACCATGAGACTTACATAAGACTACTTATACTTTTAACAATTTTAATAACAACTTAAGTTGGGACACATTCTAAAGCTCTACAATTTTTACTCCTCCCCCATTTACTGTAGTATGATCCACACAGGCTCATCATGCTCATTTATTGTTTATATAGTTTTTTAAAATAAGCTATTAGATAAATGTGGACCAGCTAAGGCTGTTAAAAACAGTTATGCATCACATTAAAAGAGAATATTTAATAGTTCTTAGATCCTGCCTGAACATGTTTGGCTCTAAAGTTAATTTCATAATAGGAGATAAATATTCTATATTTAGATTCAAGTCAAAGTAATACCTAATGGAGAATGCGAGCTTTAAATCTATTATGTATTATATTAAATGGGAATAAAACTTCTGAACATAGGGTAATGCAACCCCATGGACCTAAACTCATTGTTTCTTCATATACAGACGTAAAATTTTAATTTTACCAGAGACTTCTAGCCTAATTTGCTTTTTATTGGAAACCACACAACCCAATCATGGTATAATCAATAAGAAGTTATTCAAGTGAAGATAGTGAGGACTTGTAGAAGACAATGTGATGAGGAGGGAGGAAAGGAGGGAGACAGGCCTGGTTTCTTTGGCTGCAACAGTCTGGAGTGGAGTTTCTGTTTGACTAAATTGGGAGGTGAAAGGAATGTGTGTTGTTTCAAATACCACAGATTCTCATTGTTCTTAAATCTTGGTACACTTTCTTGAATAAATGTCCATTTGCTGGAAATGGGACCATTTCCAAAGACTTTAAATGACTGCTGTTTTAGAATACTCATGCTTCATCCAGGAAGTGCCTCTCACGTCAGCCCTTAGGCCCCAAACGTTTTCTTGAGTTATACTTTTGTTTGTCTTCTTTAGGGACTCTAATTATATATGTCAGACCTCCTTTGACTAGCTTCCATCTCAACCACCTTCTGACAATTTTTTCCCTCATTTTCATCATCTTTGTTTTCCTGATAGGATTTTTTGCCTTTTTGTTCTATTTTTTTTTTCTTGAATTCATTTCTTGTTTGCATTTTTTGTTTTCGTGACCATTACTGTTCTTTGTGTTTCTCATAGGGTTTCTTTTTCCATATCCCCGAGTGCTTATTTGATGACCTTTTCATTCCTAATTTCCTTGTTTTCCGCACTACCACACCCCTATGAGCAGCTAACTCTTCTGTGTGTATCTGATTCTCCCTCAGAACCATGCTTCTCTGAGGCTGCCTCATCAGGTCCTGCTGTCTTAATAATCATTTCCCTGAATCTTGTTCTATGGACACTCTGTCCTGACCTGTGTTCGGTATTTTGGCATTAGGCTTTTTCTTAGTTGTCCAGGCCCCTCTACTCCCCACCCTTAAAACCCATAGGCTTGCAACAACAGGAAGTCAGAAGGAATAGAGATAGAATTTATATCTCTATTAAGGCAATTCAAAGGTTATGGTATTGTCTCCTCGTCATACTGAAGAGATGAGGGATCCTTGTTTTTATTTCCTCTGATTGTTTATCTGAACAGTTTTTTTTTTAAAGTCTGAGAAAAATCAGGCTGCTGCCATTGTCCTCCAAAAACCTTTGTGAGGCTTTTAAATTAGACACAATACTGTTTAAATTTTCCTTCATTGTTGACAGATTTTGTCAGTTGCATTTTTCTGTATGGAATTTCCTGATTTCATATAAACTTTCAAACTCTTCTACATAAGTTAATATTCTGTTACTATACTGTACATAGAATCTGGAACAATAAGTAAGACATTATCATTGTTGCTACTGGTGACATGTGCCTTCTCTTTTCCTTTTTTGATCAGTCTTTTTAGGGATGTAACAGTTTTAAAAGTACTGAGAAGGTCTTTGACATTTCTCTTGAGAACTGAGGTCTGTGCTTTCCCCTAGAATCTTTGAGGGCAGTGACTGCTTTCACCAGTAATATATGTGGATGTGAGACTATATGAATTCTGAGGCTAGGTCATAAAATGCCTTGTCGTTTCACGCTGATTTTATGGGGATATTAACTCCAAAGGAAGTTAGTTGTCATGTAAGCAATCAGTTTATCCTGAGAATACAAACCTCCTTATTAGTCCATCCTATTAGTCCATCCTGAGGACAACACCTGCCTTTTGCCCTCACAAATCCTAAACTATTTCAGTACACTGACAGGAGGCACATAGTTTAGAAGGCAAAGAATTCAAATAATAAATGTCACACAGGAAGCCACAGAAGTAGAGCTATAATAGATAAAGCTGTCAGGGAACTTTCATATACCCATATGTGAATAACTGGTTTGAATATATACTTAGTCTCCTCCCCAACCCGTTTCACATTAAGTATGTAGGCGGGATTAAGTTTTAACATGCAATGCTGAAATATCCCTACCATACAACATGCTGCATTTCTAGGAATTTTTAAACATAGTATACAACAAGCAGAATGAAAACTTAAAAAAATATATAGATTAAGAACATTCCGAAAATACCAGCAACAAGTGTATTGCTAAGAACCAATAGGTTGTCAGTTAATATTTATTATGTGAATCAGATTATTTCAAGTAGGTTTCTGGCCTAAATCACCATAAGCATGATATGAAATAAAAAGTTACTGAACTATTAATTCATATCCTTCAAAGTGTGGGTCTTTCTGGACCCATATCTACTTCCTTGAGAACAGTTTGTTCTCTCAATGTATATTTCAAAAAAGAGATTAAAATAATCTTTTGTAATCCATGAAAAAAAATCAAACTGGTGACTGTTTTTAGTGAGGAAAAAAATGGGAATGACTTTAATACTTAGGTGAACTTTAATAAGATATTCTGTAGTTTTAGGGCAGAGGTCAGGGAATAACATCACATATTAAATGAACAGCTTAAAATAATTTGTGAATAACCTACCAAACCCAGGAACACTTTTGAGACTGGCTTTGAGGCAAATTTTTTCCAATCTGAGGTAGCTATATCTCATCAGACAATTCCACAGGAACATCCAGTCCATTCTTGTCCGATGATTCATGATGATGACACTTCTTTCTCCAGGAACAAACGCATCACCTGTTATAATCACTTTTACACCAAACATGGTCTCCAACAATGCCTAAGGAATACACAATACATCATAATTTAGTTATAATTTTCCATAGGTAAACTGTATCATGTTCTGTAAATAAGTCAAAGGCATGTGTTTCTCAAGATCACTGCTTCTATAATAAATCTGGAAAAAGAAGTTAATCTGGAAGAATGGGAACATAAAGGCAGTATTTCTATTTTTAGTTTTATTAATTTAGGTTTCTGAAAGTTTCCTAATTGTTACCTTTCACTGAAATCTTCAAGATATATTAACTTAAAAAGAAAAAAAGCATAAAACATATGCAAGAAGATTCCACAGCATAATTTTTTAAGGCTATAGATATATAGGATGATTACTTTCTAGAAAGGACAGTCAAGAAATTTAACACTGAGTATAGTATCAGGCTGAAGGAACAAAGTCAAAATTTTCATTTTATACCTTTCTGTGTTACGATCTCTTTAAACAAATACACATATCTATTCAACAATATGTAAAGAATAAACCAGATGTTTATAAAATCCTGCAACCCTAGCACCTACAACAGTGCCTGGCACCTAGAGGATGCTCGAATATTTGCTGAAGTTAACTTTTCTGATAACCAGCCATATAATATATATGAAATATTTAGAAGAAAGTCTATTACAAGCTTGAGTTCTTGTGGAGAAAAAGAAAATCACGGAATAAAGAACCTTGATTTCAATCCATTATTTAAATTTTCAAATAATTTCAGGGGCGCCTGGGTGGCTTAGTCGGTTAAGCGTCCGACTTTCGCTTGGGTCGTGATCTCGCGGTTCGTGGGTTCGAGCCCCGCGTCGGGCTCTGTGCTGACTGCCAGCTCGGAGCCTGGAGCCTGTTTCAGTCTGTGACTCCCTCTCTCTCTCTGACCCTCCCCTGCTCACGCTGTCTCTCTCTCTCTCTCCTAGAAATAAATAAAACATTAAAAAAAATTTTTAAAAAAAAAATTTTTTTTCAAATAATTTCTATATAACAAATTTACTACTTAACATAGGACTTCACTATGAACAGAGAGAAAACTGGTCCAAGACAGAGCAAGGATAAGAAAATCAAACCTTCTCTCCAGCAACATCATCATGAAAACCTCTAGAGAAGTATAGCACAAACAGTGTGGTTGAAACAATGAAAATAAATGAACTACAGGGATCTACAACATGGATGGCACACAAGCATAATGCTGAGAGAGGCGAAACAAAAAATGTCCTATATAAAGCTTTTTAAAACAGTCAGTAAGAAACTTTACAGGTAAATATATAGCCAGTGAAACTGGAAAACAGCAAACAAAGGCCTTAAGTCAGGCTATTGGCTACTTCTACCAAATAGAGGACTGTGATTTGAAAGCTAGGTGACTTGGAAGACTGCCAACATTCTAGTTTTTGACCTCGTTGATAGTTACACTTTAATATATAATTTTATAGTGTGCATTTGTTTTGTTAACTTTCAATACGTTTGTTACATTTCACAAAAACTTTTCTTTAAAAGAATATGACACAGATGAACAACAGGACTTCAAAACAAAAATAAGATGAAGGAAAAAGGGTTAAAAGGAGTATCAGCTAAGGCAAAGTTAGAAATGTTTTATGCCCAAAGAATTATAGAATCAGAGTGTTAACACCTAACAGAGTAACACAGATATCCCACAGGACCCACTGAGTTACTTTCTCAGAGCGGAGATTCATTTTAGGGCATGGGTGTTTAACCTGATTATAAAGTCCTAGAAGGACAGCCTTCAAGAAGTAAACAAACATGCCAATACCATATTGTTTTGATGATTACAGCTTTGTAATAGAGGCTAAAGTCTGGGACTGTGATGCCTCCAGCTTTGGTTTTCTTTTTCAACGTTACTTTGGCTTTCAGGGTCTTCTGGGGTTCCATACAAATTTTAGGACTGTTCTGGCTCTGAGAAGAATGTCGGTGCTATTTTGATTGGGATGGCGTTGAATGTGTAGATTGCTTTGGGTAGTATTGACATTTTAACAATATTTATTCTTCCAATCCATGAGCATGGAATGTTTTTCCATGTCTTTGTGTCTTCTTCAATTTCTTTCATAAATTTTCTATTGTTTTCAGCATCTTTTACATTTTTGGTTAGGCTTTATTCCTAGGTGTACTTTATGGATCTTGGAGCAAATGTAAATGGATCGATTTCTCGATTCCTTTTTCTGTTGTTTCATTACTGTTATACAGAAATGCCATCGATTTCTGTACATTGACTTTTGTATCCTGTATCAGTTCTAGCAGCTTTTTAGTGGAGTCTTTCAGGTTTCCCATGCAGAATATCAGGTCATCTGCAAAAAGTGTAAGTATGACTTCTTTGTCAATCTGGATGCTTTTTATTTCATTTTGTTGTCTGATTGCTAAAGCTAGGACACACTATGTTAAACAACAGTGGTGAGAGTAGACCTCCCTGTCGTGTTCCTGATCTCAAGCAGAAAGCTCTGTTTTTGCCCACTGAGGATGATACTAGCTATAGGCTTTTCATATATGGCTTTCATGTTGTTTAAGGTATATTCCTTCTATCCCAACTTTCTTGAGAGTTTTTACTAAGAATGCTTTTTCTGCATCTATTGACAGGATCATATGGTTCTTATCCTCTCTTCTATTAATGTGATGTATCACACTGATTGATTTGCAAACATTAAACCAGCCTACCAGCCCAGGAACGAATACCACTTGATCATGGTGAATAATTCTTTTAACACACTGTTGAATTCAGTTTGCTAGAAATTCTTGTGTTGATAATTTCTGCATCCATGTTCATCAGGGATATTGGGCTATAATTTTCCTTTTTAGTAAGATCTCTGTCTGGTTTGGGAATCAAGATAATGCAAAGCTGTAAACATCAAGAAAGCATGGTATTGGCACAAAAACAGACACACAGACAAATGGAATAAAATAGAGAACCCAGAATTGGCCCCACAAACGTATAGCCAACTAATCTTTGACAAAGCAGGAAAGAGTATCCAATGGAAAAAAGATGGCCTCTTTAACAGATGCTGGGAGAACTGGACAGCAACATGAAAAAGAATGAAACTAGATCACTTTCTCACACCATACAAAAAAATAAAATGGATGAAGGACCTGAATGTGAGACAGAAAACCACCAAAACCCTATAGGAGAAAAGAGGCAGCAACCTCTTTGATTTCAGCCATAGCAACTCCTTATTTGACATGTCTCCAAAGGCAAAGGAAATAAATGCAAAAATTAACTGTTGGGACCCCATCAAGATAAAAAGCTTCTGTACTGCAAAGGAAACCATCGGCAAAACTAAAAGGCAACTGACAGAATGGGAGAAGATATTTGCAAATGACTTATCAGATAAAGGGTTAGTATCAAAAATCTATAAAGAACTTACCAAACTCAACACCTGAAAAACAAATAATCCAGTGAAGAAATGGGCAGAAGACATGAATAGACACTTTTCCAAAGAAGACATCCAGATGGCCAACAGACTCGTGAAAAGATGCTCAACATCATCAGAGAAATACAAATCAAAACCATATTGAGATACCACCTCATACAGGTCAGAGTGGCTAAAATTAACAACTCAGAAAACAGATTTTGGTGAGGATGTGGAGAAATGGGAACCCTCTTGCAAACTGGTACGGCCACTCTGGAAAACAGTGTGGAGGTTCCTTCAGTTGTAGAAGTACCCTACAACCCAGCAACAGCACTACTAGGAGTTTATCCAAAGGATACAGGAGTGCTGATCCATAGGGGCCCATGTGCCCCAACATTTATAGCAGTGCTTTCAACAATAGCCAAACCATTGAAAGAGCCCAAATGTCCATCAACTGATGGGTGGATAAAAATATGTGGTTTATGTATACCATAGACTACTACTTGGCAATGAGAAAGAATGAAATTTTGCCATCTACAACAACATGGATGGAACTGGAAGGATATCTTTCTCTATTTCACTAAGCATAATACCTATGTTTTCACTCATATGCGGAATTTGAGAAACGTAACAGAAGACCACAGGGGAAGGGCAGGGGAAAAAATAGTTTTAAACAGATAGGGAGGCAAACCATAAGAGACTCTTAAATACAGAGAATAACCTGAGGGTTGGGGGGGGGGGGGGGAATGGATGATGGGCACTGAGGAGAGTACTTGTTGGGATGAGCACTGGGTGTTGTATATAAACAATGAATCATGGGTATCTAATCCTGAAGCCAAGAACACACTATATATACATTGTATGTTAGCTAACTGGACAATAAATTATATTAAAGAAGAAGTAAATATAGGCCCCTCTTTAAAAAGTATATACAGGGGCATCTGGGTGGCTCAGTTGGTTAAACATCCAACTCAGCTCAGGTCTTGATCTTAGGGTCATGAGCTCAAACCCTGCATTAAGCCCCCACATGCTGGGCATGTAACCTCCTTTAAAAAAAAAAAAAGAAAGGAAAACTATGAATATGTACTTTGCTAAATGCCTGTAGTTTTCATCAGATTTTCAAAAGGGTCTATAACCACTCAAATAATTCTAAGCCGCACTCCCAAAGTCTCTGAGAAGTCAAGTCTCTATGTAGAAGACTTAACAATGGAGAGGATCATGGCAGAGTCCTCTAGGCTTGGACCCACAAGCACATACTTGTAAGTATAAAGGGCCATCAACTCCCAAAATGAATCACTGAATTATGTGTCTTGGCCCAGAGGACATGTGTGAAGTCATCATCCATGGTTTATTAATTTGGATCAGCTCCATTCTGCTTTCCAAATGATATACTTTACAGTTTTTCCCAAGAATTGAAATCCAGAATGCCCTTCCCTTAACTGGTAGAAAGATGAAGTTGATTACTAATTGTGAGTTGTACCACAGAAGAGGGTTAAAAATCTCAAAGCCTTCTAAATACCAAACCTCAACCCTCATCTTTTAAGTGCAATTTCTAATACATGTTATCCTGTGGATCCCAAAACAATCTTTTGCTTTTCATTATGGAAAATGTCAAAATAAATCCAGACTGTCTGTCCAGGAGCATATCATATGGCATTCTCTCCCTTGCCATCCAGCACTCTATAAGAATGTGCCTGAAAGTTATATAAATAACCTTTGGGACAGCCTAGATCTCAAACTCACATTCATCATTTGTAATACCAGATAAGACATAATCGAGTCAACGTTTTTTCCAGGTCTCAGAAAGGCAGAATTACAAATATATACTACACAGAGGTAAAGTTGAATGTCTATAAAGAACTCCAGAATTCAAAAAATCCAGATTAAAAACTGTTAAAAAGACACTATTCTTATTTTTTTTCCTATTTCTAGTCTAGAAACTAGTATAGAAGAAAAACTAATCTTATGAAATTTCACAATGCTTTACGGAAGCGATTTCTGAGGAACTTTTATAGACCACTGATGACTACTTCCAACTGTTCCACCATGTCTAAAAACACAAAGATGAGAGGTTCTCCTCTTGATCACAGAGAATCAGTTTTGCCATCATGTCCCAAGCACTCATTTACCATTCCAACGACTCTTTATTTAGACTGAGCTAAAACCAACTCTGTGGCGTTCCTCATCTCCCAGTCTGCCTGGGCCTTTCAGATTCCACTCAGCCTCGCTCCTCAAATCCTTAGCTTTAGTTAAGATCTTGCAATCCCAAGTCATTCATCAAACACAGCGTCCCTTTTCTTAGCAGCAGGCTATTTGCTTTAGGACTGGAATCAGCAGGCCGTGGAAGAGACTTGTACCCTAGGTGGGGAGTTAGAAAATGATCTCTAAATCCCTAAGTCATGACTTCCGGTGAAAGGACAGAACTCCAAATAGCTTTCAGAATCCCAGGTTATTAGCTAACAATCGGTCTGTTGGAAAGATTCCGAATTTTGAGAAGCAAAAAGTGCTCTTGGACACATGCAGAGTGTGACCCTGACAGTATTGATTATGCTGAATAGAACTGTCCCAAAATGGAATGACCAAAGACCTGCACCCCTCAGTGTAGAAATGTACCAAGAGAGAATGAATGGACACGCTGCAGAGTGTTCTGGAAGGAATTCTCACAGAAGTAGGTTAGACTAAGTGACCTCAGGCTCATCTAAGATTCTAGAAGATTTTACTGTCGTACCTCACTTAACACACAAAATGTGGTTCTTAAAAATAGTAAGAGAAAAAAAAAATCTTGCCGATGAAATCATTTTAATGCACAAGAGATACTTACAAAAGAGAAGATCACTTTATGATTATTTCTGTAAAGCAATCATTCGTACAAGTGCATTTACCCTAATTTATTATTAGTGAACTTCTTTTAGTTGTTGAGGATTGCTTAAAATAAAACAGCAAAGAGTAAAGTATGAAATAAAAGGTCATAAAAGACACCCTGATAGTTTTTCTCCATTTCTTTGAACAGGGAGGCTTACCACTTCAAAACTGTAACACCAATTTTTGGTAACCTAGCTAGAAGGCATTCAACTTCTATAAATTTCTTAACTGAAAGACTCTGCTTGATATGCCATTACTAGTAAGTTAAACAGGTAATAGGAGTTTTTTCAAGTATACACTAATTTAATACCACAGTGGTGGTTGAATTTTGACTGTGTTAAGTTGTGAAGTCAGATAATAAAGCAGAAGTCAGGAATAGCTGAAATTAACCCCTAAAAATCTCACAGAAAAGTACTTCACAAGAGACCAGCACACTAAGTCCAGCTCAGCCAGTTTTTTCTCAATGTTGGAACAACTTTCTCTAACTGACCATCAGATGAAGGGACGGGTCAACGTGCTGTTTTAAACACACAATCATACTCAATACAACACCACTCACATCTCCCATTTCATCTCACTTTAAGTAGGGGTGAGGGAAGAACACATTCTCCCCACCTAGTTAAAGACTTGTACCATAGGGTATAGTGTAATTCTGTGTAATCATGGTGGTACTAATAGTAACAGCAGAAGTGGCTATGGCAGAATTTGGCCAGTAAAGTCCAGCATTTCTTCCAAAGTAATAGATTTTAATTATGTACATGGCTTCCCAGAGGAAAGATGACATTTGCCAGATTCAATTACACCTTTCAGCTCTTCTCTCCCCAATGGGGCGAACACAAGAGCCATGTGCTATTTGTTATTCACTGGTATAATGGAAAGCACTTGCTCTGGACTTCCTCTCCTATGTGCTTTCTGCAAAGTGGGGCAAAATAGTAGTAGTGACCAGTCAAACTATATATCCACAACTAGGAAAGATAGTTTAAACAGAATGCTATTACCTCCACAAGGCCATATCCATCCTGTTCATCATTATATTCTAGCAAAATGCTTAGCACATGGTGGACACTTAATAAATAGTTGCTGGATGAATGTTCTAGGATCCTGCTGACTAATTTTACCATAGATAGCAGCTAACAAAACTTACCAAAAAATCCTTCCTGCTATTATGAAAGGAAAAAGAAAATTTTGCATTAATACATAAGGAGGATCTATACTGATACTGTAAGCTTATAAATATTCGATGCAAAGTACTTCCTACTGGAAAAAAAAGAAATAAGGAAAATGACTGCTGCTTCCAGACGTAACAGAGCTAGTGTATATAGACTTACCACTGAGCTGAAGTGCAGGAAAGTAAGGTTATAATGAATTATACGGAAGAAAAATCTCAAAAAGTAATGAAACCACTAAAGACCCCAATATAAATTCTATAACTTGTAAGTACAGTATATTTTATAAATGCTTATTTATTTATTTTCAGAGAGAGAGAGAATACCAAGCAGGCTCCATGCTATCAGCACAGAGCCCGATGTAGGGCTGAATCCCACAAACCATGAGATCCTGACGTGAGCTGAAATCAAGAGTCGGATGCTCAGCCAACTGAAGCACCCAGGCGCCCTGAAAGTACAGTATGTTAAACAGAAATCCACTGTGTGAATAAAACAGCAGATAGAGGTGGCAGAAGCGAGGGTCAGTGAACTTGGTGACTTGTGTAACAATACAAGCAACCTAACAAACCTACAACTGTTGTCCTAAAAGGAGATGAGAGTGAATGGAGCGGAAAAAGATATATGAGGAAATAACAGCCCCAAATTTCCCAATTTGGAAAAAACAAAGCTACCGATCTAAGAAGCCTGATGAAATACAGCAAAATAAACCTAAAGAAAACTGGACCTAGGCATACCATGACCAACAAAACTGCTAAAAAAAGAACTCTTAACAGCAGCCAGAAGAAAATGGCACATTAAATAAATGGAAGCAATAACATATGCTGGCTAACTTTTCAACAAAAACAAGAAAAGCGTAAGATAGAAGTAGAATGTGAAACTAGGGAAAGAAGGAAGAAAATGTCATCCCAGAAATTTCTCAGCCAGTTAACTATACTTCAAAAACGAAGGCAAAATAAAGTTTCACTTAAAAGAAAACAATCTACAGGAGTCCCCACTACAAGAAAACCTAAAGGAAGTTCTTCAGGCTAAAGGGAAATGACACTACTAGAGAGAAACTCTAATATATAGAAAGAACAAAGAATACTATAAATGGAAAATATTTAGATAAATATAAGACTATATTTTTTGAAAGACATAGGACTATTTAAAACAAAAAATTATAATTGCATTGTAGAGTTTGAGAGTAGATGAAGTATGACAGCAGCACAAAGGATATGGAAATGAAAGCCCTACACTGTTACAAGTCTTAACATTTTATGCAGTGTGCTAATAAATATCAACTCCAAGTTTTACTTCTGTAACGTGAGGATGATGGTGGTGCCTGAAATGAAGACATCCTAAAGCACTTAGCACAGTACCTGTCATGTAAGTGCTTTAACAGCTATGATCATCATTACCCCTTTAATAAAACCTTGTCATTCTTCTCCTTAATCTGGAACCAGTTATTTATCATCTACCAGTATGCTCGAGTCCCTTTCTTTGTACCTGTAGATTAAGTTCAAATAGAGAAAGGGAAGGGAGGAGGGACAGAAAGAGATGGGGGACTACTTTTAGTTTACCGGTATCATATTTCTTAAAACATATCTGAATAATTTTTTTAAAAAATTAACCTTTGACAAGAGACAAATGCAATTATTTATTCATATGTTTAAAAAGATCCCTGTGGTGAGAAGGATGCACTGTAAACGACTCCCCGGGAGAAGTCCACAGCATCGGTCTACGTTCCTGTCTGCAAAGGTTAACCGTGGCAGTCCACCTGATGGGAACTAGGCAACAGCAGCTCAAAGGACACAGGTGAAAAAAGACCCCTTGGCACTGGAAGGAAAGGATTCCCTCCTTGTTTTCCTTGTCAGGTATAGCCTCATCACCTCCACCATGATGGAGGTAAACTGTCCAGTAAACCCAGAAACATGAAGTTCCAGCTGTTGCTCAGGAAATCCAACCTATTCCAGGTAAAGGCAGCTACGTGGGTGCCCCCACATTTCTGGGGAAGGCACTGTGGGTTAGCAGCAACAGAGGGGAGGGCTAAAGCAGCTCTGATGAGGACAAGGGAGGAGTGTGGACTAGAATCCTACAGGAAGGTGCCAGCTCAGAATCACAGGGATGTTGCTCAGAGCTGTATGCACGGACATTGCAGAGAACACCTGTCTTTTCCAAGAATCCACTACACGTTCTGTGTGCGCTTACATCTTACAGAGGTTGACTCATTCTAGCCCACAGACAGGAAATCCCTTTATTCCTCAATTCTGGGGTTAATGGGAAGAATTAAATCAATGACATCAATGTCAAAAGTTCAAAACAATAGTTTAATCTCAGTCTTAAATTTTGTCATTTGTAAAATAAAGGGAAATTGAAATATTTTTACATCATTAACTTTTTCTCTGTACCTTTAGATTTGTGGATTTTGCTATACGTAAAGTATACCTCGAGGAAGGGAATATAAAAGAAACTCAATTTTGGAATACGGCTCCTAGATATTTTATTTCAAGGACACGAATTCTATTTAATTCTCTCTAGTTTCTGTACTTCCTCTAAATGCACCTCTTATGAAACAGAAAGGATTTACATGCTTATCATGTTATCGAGGCGAACATTCGAGTAACTGACTCTAGCTTACCGCGGGCAGTGTGAGCCAGGTTGCCACGAGGCGGTTGTTGATCCAGCGATACCAAGATGGGTTTACAAACATCAAAGGTAAGAAGGGGCCCAGCATGAAAATGCTTCCAAAAAAGCTTCCCCAAAACAGAGTGAGTATGAAGTAAATCCCTTTCCATGACACCATGGTTCTGAAAGAAATTTTTTAAAAAAAGATATATTTTGTTACTATACATATAAACTGCCCAAATTGAGAATGCGTAAAATAATCTTAAATGAGAAGGCTACAGAAAAGACTCTGATTAAGGTGACCCTCGTGCATGTCCTACGGGTCTAACAAATTCCCAGTACATTAGAAATGAATACTCTCAGCAGAGTAAATGCCTATTTACTCTTATTTATAAGAAGCCTTTGTTTTTTAAAATCAAGTTATTAGTGTTAACATAAACATAGGAGTTACCCAATACAAAATCTTAAAATATTCCATAATTTTTTTATATCCTACTATAAAAAGGCAACTTAATGGACCAAGAATTACAGAACAGTTTCCCACGGGTGGCTATGCCTAAAAGCACTGGCAATCTTATAGAGCGCACTAGGTTTTTTTTTTTTTTTAACCTAGAAATCTTGGGACTCCTGAGTGGCTCAGTCATCTGACTCTCGATTTTGGCTTAGGCCATGGTCGCAGGTCATGGGACAGAGCCCCCATGTTGGGCTCTGTGCTGACAGCACAGATCCTCCTTGTGATTCTCTCTCAAAACAATTTTTTTTCTGTTAATTCTTCCACATTAGAACCTGAAAGTAGGATCTTTGGGCAACTGGTCTTAAACTGGCTTTTTCTTTATGACCTGAAAGAATAAAGAACAGTCAGATTCTTCACTTTACTAAACTATTTGCCAAAAGATTACTTCCAGGGTCCTCATAACCAGAAACACTTAATATTGACATTATAAAAGAAACTGTTGGAAACACAATGTAAAATGAATAATCAAACATTTGATTTTATAACCTAACCCATATTAGAGCAACAATATGTTTTACCTCAGGATAATAAAAGTGCTAGAATCATAAAAATTCTGAAAACAATAATGGCCTTAAAATTTTTATATTACAAAAGGTATTCCAGTGATCAAGACCTGTGATTCTGTTTAAATATTCAGAACAGGGAACAGAAATAAAATTTCAAATGTCAAAGCGCTTTAATAAATGTCAGACAAACAATAAAACAGGTCAAATCCCTTAACAACACAGATTTGACTTTATCTGGGTACTGAGTATGTTTTTAAATCTCTACCAATACTTGAGAGTGTGTGTACAAAATCCTTCCAAGCACAGAGAGAATGAATATCTAAGAACTGGTTTTTTGCTGAACTCTAGACTGAACCTGTAAGTAGAAGTCAGGTAAGGGAATGAGCGTGGAGAGAAAAACCACTGAAATGCAGTGGCTGCTTTGCTCACCCAGGGCCCCAAAAGGTATTTGATCCTTCACACCCTCAGCTCTGCTTTCTGAGGCCTAGGCTCTCCTCTTCACACCGAAAGATGACACCCTCGGCAGCTTCTCTCCAGTCTTTAAATGAAAGCTTTTAAAACAGGAAAAAGAAAAAGACCATCTGCAGTGCTGCTCCTCTATCTGAAACCCTGTAACTACCTTTTTTGCTCTGTTTGTTTCTGCCAATTAGCTGGCTCTGTTTAGACACTTACTCCCTGAAGAGCAGGACTTCACACTGTATCTGTACAGGTCCATCAAAGACTCAAACACACCTCTTCCACGCTTAGTAAACGATTTCTCACTTGATGTGATTAAGCTCTTTTAACTCATATGTTATCCTCTAATAACATCTTTTCATTTTACAGTGATGAAGCTGAGGACCAAAAGAGTTACGATAACTTTCCTAAGTCTCCTTAGGAGATGCTACCAATGGGTAGCATCAAGTGTTTCTGCCTTCTACTTCTTTCACGATATTATACTATGTCTTTCTCGCTGAGTGGCCAGGAATCAGAGGCCCGAGTCAGCTTCTAAATGTGAATATAAACACAGACTCAAGTATAAAAGGATGTGTCCCATGAACATACTGGGGTTACTCAGGCCAAGTCTAATCTAAAATGACTTTTCCATCTTGCTCCTGTCTTTTCCCTAACTTCTCAATAATTTGTTCAATGACTCAATAAACATACAAAGAGATCCCACTGTGTGCCAGGCTCTGTGCTGGTCACTTGGAGACACCACTGTAAGTATGACAGACATTACCAAGCTCTCGCCAACCATGGCCTCTCTATCTCTTCCTCATGAACTTCTCCCTGGCTCTGCATTTAATCCAGCTCCATCCAGTCTTCTTCCAAGTCTCACGGGTTTCACAGACAAACATGGTTAACATGTTTGTTACACATGTATTTAGAATGGCTAAAATGGGGATGGAGGGGAGGGGAGGGACCTGCCAATACCAAGCGCTGGTGAGGTTGTAGAACAATAAGAACTCACATACATGGCTGGTGGCAATGCAAAATAGTATGTACGCTTACCATGTAACCCAGCAATTCTACCAAATATACAGGACAAATGATGACACAAAAACTTGTACACAATTGTTTATATCAGCATTGCTCATAACTGCCAAACACAGGAGGCAACTCAACTGGGGGTTGGGGAAGGGGGTAGAGACAGGCAAACAAATCCATAGACCAGATACCTACAGCTTCCTGCTCAGAAAGAAAACCTCTTTTCCTTCCTAAAATGTCCTTAACCTAACAACTAAAATGTTAACTAGCATTGTTCTCATAGTCTAATAGGTATACCAAGAAATAACTGCAAATCAATGTGATACATGCAACATGTGTTAAAGATAGTTCAAGGTAAAGCAGGATAAACTCTGCTGAAAGGAATTAAAGAAGGCATTAGACTCTTGGGAGGATGTGGGGGTGGGACGGATTATTCCAGGCAGTAAAACAAAACACGCAGTCACAGAAATCTTAAGCAGGGAGCTGTAACTCATTATATATTAATGAGGTACCGTGTACCCACTGGAGAGCTGCAAGAAATCACAGAGCACAGGTCCTATGGACAAAGTGCACAAGCCCAGGCCAGGACAGCCAAATAATACTCCCTGTAGCATGTCACCGTGGGTAAGAAAAAACCTAGCATCTATGACTAATGTTTTAGGATAAGTGATAAGGGTGCATATAAACATCGACTGAATGAGTAAATAGATCAGTTTTGTTAGAAACCTTAAGAGCAAAGAGCTTCTCTTCCCTTTAAAACTGACAGCACATGGAACTTGTTGGCAAAAATCCCAGCATTGACGGATGCTGGTATCAGAGGGGTCTATGACCATCTGCTCCAGTTCCACCACGCAAAAGCCTGATGATCGTGACCACATCGCTTAACCTGGATGCTTACAGATGAAGAAGTTGTGGAAAACTCTCAAAGGCCTACCTTTTGAGCACCTAATATTTGCCAGACACTTGACAGAAGGCTCCTTGTAGTTACATATTTAATGCCTACATGTTGAACTATCCATAAGCAATGAAAAGATCCATAACAGGTAAATAATTCAAAATTTTGCTAAAACTCCAAATTTGACTACCCCAAGGCTGGTGTTAAAAACCAAATCACTTAGATGGTAAAAATCTGGTCAACTGTCCAGTATCCTAATCTCAATGGCCCTTTATCCTGTCTTACTTAGTGCCTAAGCACTTGGTGGGGCAAATTAGATGCACAGAAGATTTGTAACTTTAAGGTTTTAAAAGGACCTTACTATATACCTTGATAATGTCAGGCATGTCTTAAAATAGGCTCTTCACAAACATTCTCATCTAATCAAAACAAGAGCCTCAAAAGTAAGGTATCAGTAATATCAGTGGTATTTGCAGGTAAAAAACTAAGGGACTCACTTCCCCAGCATAATACTGGGGAAGTTAATACTGACTCTGTTAATACTGACAGAGGTGAGCTAAAGAGCCTATACCCAGGGCAGTCCCAGAAAACACAGAAGAAAGTTTGGAACTGGTACAAGAAAGATTTTAAAGAAGAAAAAAAATAATAAAAGAAAGTTAAGCATATTGTTTAAACTCGTCTTCTCTGAAGAAGGTAAAACTAGGCTTCTGAATTAGGGGACACACAGTGGGATTAAGTAACCCTATACACAGAGAAACCTAAAGCTGGACCCAGACCATCTTTCCTCACTGGGCTTTCAGGTGGCTGGGAACAAGAGTTTAGTCCTCGTCCAGGGTTCGCCAACAAAACCTCATGCAGTGATGGAAATGTTCTGCCTGCAAACCTCACACTGTGCTGTCCACTATGACAGCCCACAGCTGTATGTAGCTAATTCAACTGAGGAATTCTTTGTTGGATGTGGCAAGTGGCTACTGTTATCAAATAGCACAGCTGTAGGAAGACTACCAGGGCACACTTCTCTGGGATCTGACCAGACATTGAGAAAAGACAAAAACACAGAAACACTGGAGGTTCCCTAATACACAGTCAACCTGGATCACCTATAGTGAAGCCTTTGCAAAGTTCATGTAAGCCTCACCTATCTACAACCTCCTCATTGGCTTAAGTGCCTTGTTTTTCACTGTAAGCAGATAATGAGACATCTGAGAAACCTCTTTAACATTAGAGACTAAAACAGAAAAAAGTATATTTGAAGGAAACCATTCAGGAAGAAGAAAACTGTCTTAAATATATATAACAAAGATAAAATATGTTGTATCTAGTAAAGAAAAATGTGAGAAAACAACAAAGGAAACATTAATAAATGAGCTATTAGAAGCTGACAACATACAATGTTAAGCAAAAATTAAAAACTCAGAGTTGAAAAGTGAAACTGAGGAATTCCTCGTAAAAGTCAAGATAAAGGGCTGGAAAGTAGAAAGAGTATTAGAGGACCAAGACAGGAGGTCCCACATGCAAATTACATGACTGCCAAAAAGAGAGGAGTGAGGAACTGAAGGGGAAGAAATCAGCAACCAAAGAAATTTCTTAAAATGTCCTCCAAACTTGGTAAACATGACCTTCCACATGAACAGGGCCTGTTGAAAGCTAGGATAATGGATGAAAACAGATGCTCACCAAGGCACAAGCACTGTCGCTTTCAGGACAGAGAAGACAAAAGGACATTCTACAAAACTTCTAGAGAAGATATAAACAGGTCACTAAGGATCAAAAATAAAGTTGGCTTTGGACTTCTCTGTA